AGACAGTTTGAGTTCATTATTAAACAACTGAACTCCAGTAAGTCAGCTAAATGAACAGACAGTTTGAGTTCATTATTAAACAACTGAACTCCAGTAAGTCAGCAAAATAGCAAATTAGATATTATTGATAATTCATCTTGATAATCCATTAGCAAGTGTGATATTTATTACTTTCTGATTTTAGACGCTTCAGTTATTCTGAAGTTCTTAAGGTCAATGATATTAAGTTAGTTACTCAGCAAAATAAATAAGTAGAAGTCATTTAAAAAAAAATGCCAAAATTACAAAATGATAAAAAAATAATAATAGTTAAACATGAAAAAGTGAGCAAAGGTGGGAAATTAATAATTGAAAAAAAAAAGTCAAATCTTTTGGAAAAATACTCAAAACATTATTTTGAAAATTTTAATTTGCTCATTAGATTTGTTCAGGGTAGGTATTTTATTTGTTGTTGTTGGTTTACTGTTCTCATATCAAAGAGAAGATGAACTCAAATTGGATCTGTTTTTTTCCAGACGATGAAGCAGATGATGCAGACTCAGATGATGAGGAGGAAGACGAGGATGAGGTATGTTGTTGTTTTTTTTTTTAAACTTTCACTGACACCAGAAGATCTTCAGATTAGTTGGCATATTTAATGTTTGCTTGACTTGTTCAGTCAGAGATAAGTGTAAAATACCATTGTTAGGGCCTGTGCGATTACAGTGTCATTTTGTCACTTATAATTAAGGAATCAGCAGTGAATGAGAATTTAATTTTTTTTTGTTTTGTTTTGATTGTCAAAAGAAAACTGCATGTATGCACAATGCAGCTTCTGGCAGAAGTTTTCATAATTTTATAACAAGAAGCCTAACTTGTAAGTCTGTATTAAAAGCTATTATAGCACATAATTGACGACTGTCATAAATTGTAACTTGATGATAAACTATAAATTTTAAGAGTTTGTTTATCACTGAAAAAAACATCAATTTTCAGAGAAGCCAGGACAGAAGAAAAAAAAAGAATTGGGTCACTTTTATATCATTAATTTTAGGTCACAAATTGACCTAATTAAAATAAGGTCACAAACTGACCTAATTAAAATTAGGTCACAAACTGACCTATACATTTGGTTGTGTATTCCAGGAGGACCAAGATGCCATGGAGGCTGACCTGGACAAGGCGGAGGTGCTCAAACCAAACCCGGGGGAACTTTCTGGCGAGAAACTCCTCTCCACGGAGTACCTGGGTGTGATGACAAACGCCTCACGCAAGAAGAACAAGCACCTGGATGTAGTGCGGGAGGAGGGACCGTTACAGAGACCCGTTACGCCCAGTAGGAAGATAGGGAATGAGTTGAGTCTGCCTCCACAGGCCAGGTGAGAGTTATTAAATCAGTGTGATAATTTGCTAGACTGGAGATTGATGTGTAGGTTTTGTTTAAATGAGGACAGTGTTTTCTTTCAATAAATTTTTTATGAGTTAGGAGAGGGGAACAAAGTTATGTTGTAGAGTTGTTTGTGTATTTCAAGGCAACTGCTTGTCACTGTTACATTATAAGTATAATGACAACTGCTTGAGTTGGATTCAGTCACAAATGTCAAAATTAGGAAATTGTATCCCTCAGGCTAGTAGCCAGGAATTTCAAAAGGGGGGTTCTGTTTCTGAAAAAGTGGACCTTTTACCATTCAACCTTCACGTACCTATGTAATATTACCCAGAGTGGACCTTTTCCAGACAAAGGGGGGGGAGGTTCTTTCAAACCACCTGAAACCCCTCCCCCTGGCTATGGGCCTGCAGTAATTTTTCTATGGAATTATGATGAATCTTATCCGTAATATCCAGTATTTTTAGTAATATTTGCAAAAAAAAAACTTATTTAATGGGATGAGAAACATGTTTGATTCAAATCAAGTAGTGCATCATTGAAGGTAGTTACAAACTTGAAAAAAGTACAAATGTAATTATTTTGGAAAATGTCAGGTGTTTGAAATGGCAATGTTTTTTATCCAGTCAAATATACTCGGAGGACTTTGAACAAGAGACCAGTAGAGGCCAGCCAACAGCCCGTGGTGGTCCTCCCTCGCGCCCTTCCAGTAAGGACCAGGTGCGGCCTCCTACCAGAAGTGGAAGTCGAGGCCAAAGTCGTCCCAATACAACAGATACTCCAAGACAAGCTGCTCCAAGTAAGTTGACATATTAAAGTTTGTGTGTTGAATGTCGGACTATTATGTTGAAAAGCTTTTCTTTTCTTTCCCAGAAATGTCAGCTATTTACCCGTAATCGCCCACTTGAAGGTATTTCATTATCCCAAATCTTTATCAGAAATGCATTGTAACAAGATCTGAAATTTGGTTCTTTTATTTGAGATACTCACACTGAGACAGAGTGGTAAAATTCATGACTGTAAAAAAAAAAAAAAAAATAGAAATTAATTTTCCAAAATTGTCAAGGATGACTGATAACAGTTTGGTTCTGTCGGTTTCAGAGATGGACGAGGCAGGGTCAGAGTTGGTGTCTCAGACCCTGGGGAAACAGAAACAGTTGGCCGCCCCCGTCACCCAGAGGTCGGTGAAACCTTCAGGAAAAGCTCTGGAAAAGATGCAGGGACAGAATGCCAAGTAAGTGTTATTGTGAGTGGTGACATTCCAGTTCAAGTGCTAAAAATATGGAAGTCACACTGACAATGTTAAAATAAGGTCAGGTACAGAAAAAAAATAGAAATAAGAGAATTAATAAACTTAATTTTTTTTTTTCTTTTTTTTTTATTGTTCCAGCCTCAATGAATATGCAGCTGCATTCAGTTCCCGTCCCAAGGTAGTACGCACCCCAGACTTGAGTCACCGCGCAGACAGTCGCAACGAACCTCCGCCACAACCGACATTCTCAGAGAGTTTACCCATGTCTAGACCAGGAACTCAGTCCAGGAGTGGTATGGTTTCTTTGTGAATTATTTTTTGTTGGAAAGCACACTTCATACTGACAGTAATATATTAAGAATTGAGAAATCACATTGAATAGCACCATTTATCACATCGTTAAATTTATTATTCAAAATTTAAGTTTTAGATTAAAATTGACAAGTGCATGATGGAAATACCTAACTTTTGATTAAGTTTATTTTGTTTATTTTTTTCTTAATTAATTAATTTATTTATATATTATTTGCTTATTTCTGTGTGTACTAATTTAGGTGTATTATTATTTATTTATTGTTATTTTAGGGGCCAGGAGTGGTGGTGGAGGAACCTCGCGTTCAGGGCAGGGAAAAACAAAAATGTCTCGATAGCAACTGTTGTCATGGTGATTTGCAGAACAAAGCATGCCTTTTTTTCAAGACTGCCACAAAAACAGTCTACGTTGTGATGATGCTCTCACATATATTTATTTATTGACTACTTGATTACGAAGAAGCTATAGTCACGGTTAAATATGTATTGTAGCAACTGTAGCCTAGCAAGTGTTGTCATGGTAATATCAGTTGCGGCAATACATGAGTCTGGGCTAGTAAGGATGTAGACAGTGCCATTTGAAATAAGATATATCAGAAATGATTAAATTAATGAGAATCCAATGCAGACAGAATAAACTACTTGTTCCCAAGCTTTACTAAGCAGAAATGGCACAAGTGGTGGTGAGGTGTTAGATTAAAGCTCAGCATTGTGCATATATAAAATGGTTTAAGTTTATTGTTGTGATATTAACTGTAGATATCAATTTATATTAACATAAATGGAATGATTTGTTGCAAGAAGGGCCTTCATTAGGTGCTAGCACATTTTGCTATCTTATTATTGTTATTATTATAATTGTAAATTTTTCTAAAAGAGTGTTTTTGTTCAATTGCATTATTTCATTTATTTATCATGTATCTTGCACAAAAACGGGGGGTGGGGGGGGGGTTCCTAATGTTTTTCATATTCATTACTATAAGGGGAGCCTCAAATCTCTTCTCAGGCAACATGCAGTCAGAACTGAACATTTAATTAAATGTTAATAGTAACCGAAAAAATATATAAATGAGGTATTAAATTGTTGAATAACTAATGTCTGCCATGTACCAATCCATTCAATAAATAAAATATGGAGTATGTTTCATTCATTAGAGAAACAAGTGACAGATTGTAAAGCAAAAAGTAATGTTATTTGTAAATATTGATATTGTTTGTTTTAAGTGTCACCCTAAAAACACTACTTTTTGAAGGTAGTTGCACTTTTTTTTTTGCTGTTGTACCTTGACAAATCTGTGATGTTTTCTATAGTCTGTATCATAATTATCACTAACAAAAGGGTTCTTATCATTGTACGTTTCATGTAATTATACACCTTATTTTATTGTTAAAATCTTTTAAAAATATCCCTATTTAGTAACGTCTTTATGGGTAATTGCATATTTGTATTCCATTGTTAAGAGAGAAGATGGATATTAATGAAATGGTTATATTCATCAACAAAAGAGGTTGTTTTTATAATCGTTCATTTGTGAACCAGATATCTTGGAGACTTTTTTCACTAATTTAGATTATATTTTGAGGATACACAATTATTCCTGAAGGAAACAAACCAGTACTGTAATCAGTATTTATATTATGCATTGGGGCTTGTCTGTGCTCTTGAAGTGTTCTCTCTTGTTGATTTATTTATTTACTTTTTTGTGAAGGACTTGGTTCAAATGGGATCTCAGGTTTGATAAGTTCCGTATGGAAATTATATGGTTATAGTATTAGATGACTTTGTCTCCAGCTCTTATAATTGTTCCCAATAGCTTATCAAATTTGTGCTTTTATTCATTTTATTTCACTCTTCAAATTTTCACAATAAAGAATATTCAGTAGTATGTCATGCGTTCGACTTATTTACCAGATTATTGAGCAGAATTATCCTGATACACTTGGATATTACTATGTCCCTTGTCACATCACGGGGACACTTAAGCACCAAAACGCCTTCCGTGATTGACATCTTAATACAGACCTCTTTTATAAAATTAATTCGCCTCTGCGTTAATACGACTATTACCCCGGGGTAAACAGTAGGGGTGAGCTTTTGAAAGGGAACATCCCTCCTCCCTCCCCGAGAATGAATAACGTGTATTCTCGCCTTTTGGTCAAATCTTGTTTTTGATGTACGTATGTAGTCATCAAACAGTAATTAATACATCGTTGAATATAATACGTTTTATTTTTGCTGACATTAATCGCATGTCTCTGTTTTATTTTACTGTGTAGCTTTGTGTGGTAAAGTGGCAGGCTCCTTTCGAAAATCATCACTATCAGATTAATTTCACTTCAGTTATTGTTTACCGGAAGGTGCCTGTTTAGAAAAGTTAAAATAGATCAAAAGTGATGATATCTTTTTAAGTAACTGCCAGATTTCAATTTCTGGATGGCTAACCCGCACCCCCACCCCCATCCCCACCCCACTTTATTAAATTAAGATGCCTAAGCACCTGAAAATTACCACTTATCATGATTTGGGTATTTTTAATTGATTTTTAACTTGCTTGTTTTTTCGGTTGGTGCTTATAATTCACTATTTAAGTCCCCGTTTCTCTAAATCTAATTTTATCTTGGTTACATAACGCCACCTTTCATTATAAAAGAATGTTATCCCATTTAAATTAGCGTCCTGAAGGTGTTTACATTACGTCGCGCGCGCCGGTTGAGTCATAACAACAATGTCACGACCTCAGGTGACCTACTTTCAGCATGTACAGGTAGATTTATGTCACGCAGGTAAAGAGAGACGGCGGCTTAACGGCGGTATTTAAAACCGTCACGTACCTCTCCCGCTAGCGGTTTTAAAGTCAAGGTCTGACATTTTGGCTTCCTGTATCTATCGATGGCATTGAATCAGTAGCTGACCAACGCGTTACCTGTTGGGCTGGACATCGGTGACATGACTGAGTGGATCGAGTGACCGCATTTCTTCAGTTTAAGATCGGGCTTAACAGGTGACAGTTAAACACTGGCGGTAAACTTCAGATTTTGTATCGTGGGCAAACAAGGACAGGTTTGGATATGTTGTATTGACCGGCGTGTATTTTGGATTTGAAGGGACTGAATATGACGGAGCATGTACATGCAAGTGTACCAAAGCATGTTGAAGTTGTTGACGTACGCGACGCCGGTTGTTGGGATAGAAAAGTAAACAATGTAATGAACGTAAACAATATTATATGACTCAGTGCAGATAACGAGGTATTTGACATAGCCGTTACAGCAGGCGTATGATAAAGTGGCACTGGATTTAAATTATATTGTTAAAGCAGAGAGAGGGAACAATTTCAACTTGAGTTTTTTTTTTTTTTTTTTTTTTTTTTTTTTGTTTTTTTTTTTTTTTAGAAAAAGGAATATGGGACAAAGCCCGCAGGGACCGAAACTTACACCCTATGATAATAAGTAATGAACCAAACTGCATCTCCCTCGATAAGGATATACATTATTTATGACATATTCAAACTAAGGATATAAATTATTCATAAAACACGGAAATGGAGCTTATGCCGGACCTAGACAACACTTGCCATCGTTGCGAGCAGACAGTCTACCCCGTTGAGAGAATCGACATAGGGTTGGTTTACCACAAGGGCTGCTTTAAATGTCGCACCTGCGCCCTCCAGCTGAACCTCAAGACATACCACCTTGATAAACGGAGCGAAAATGGTGGGGAGATCTACTGTCAAAATCACATGCCCCGCCTGGGGGTCGCTAACATCGACGTGGACGCTGTGGGGATACAGACGGCGCTCTCAGCGCCCCCTGCGCGGTGGAGTATATTTGGAGGGCAGGTAAGCTGTTAGCAATACGGTCCATACGGGAGAGTAGAAGGAGATAAGGATCGCGCACGTCACGCGTGCGTTGAGTTACAGTGGGGAAAGTAACACAGATTAATATATGAAGGGATGGATAGATAGGCCTAAATAAAAAAGTATATAGATTAAAACATATTTCTGAAATGAATATTTCACGACTGAAACCTTTGTGTTAGCAATAGCAGAGGCGGATCCAAGGATATTTGTAGAGGTGGGTGGGGTGGGGGTGGGGTCCGCGGAAGCAAAGCCGACCCCCCCCCCCCCCCCACTTGGTGTGGGGGCCCACTGAAGGGTCCCGAAAAAAAAATTGGTATTTTAGAGGGCTAACAGTAGCATTTTGTACGGTTTAGTTCTATGATTCAGCTAGTCAAAATTTTATTTTCAAAGTGGGGAGGGGGGGGGACATTGTGTGTTTTTTTTTCAGAGATCGAAGGAGGGGAGGGGGGGGGCTGAAAAAACCTAAATCTGCCATTTAATAGGGTTCACACGGAAGGAGGGGGTGGCGGGTGGAGGGAGGGGTCGCTCACCTCGGGGGGGTGTGGTTGAGGGATGATGGGTGAAAGTTACACAGATGAGTAGGTATGAAGTGATACATAAGTAGAAGCAAGCGAAATGGATTGAAACATACTTATGAAATTAATATTAAATGAATGATACCCCTGTGAAATATAAAAGCTTCTGTGTATAAAGCGAAAAAATAAATGTATTATCAACATTTGATCATGATAAATTTAAGTGAAAGCATCCCAGTCGTCTATATGTAAAAACCTATAGTAATGTGGGTATCTTCGGTGCAACTTTTAACTAACGCTTTTAAATTTTATTCCTTTTTAATACTCCTCTGTCCAATATTTTAACCTGAATGCATTTCAAAATTATTTTATTGTGTACATTAGAACGGTTTTATTGTTTACTTTTATTCTGTGAATTAAGTGTGCGATGTTATTTATGTAGGGTATTCTTGAACGGCTTTTACCCTTCAGGTGTAATAAATAAATAAATAAATAAATAAATAAATGTTTATATCTATCCGAAGGTGCGAGCCTCTATGTATGAAGCACAGAGCACGGATCCAGCAGCGCCAGCGACGACTGCTGACGATCAGAATGACGACAGCAACGCAGAGAGTGCCACCTTACTCACCCCTAGCGGACGCAAGACGATGACAAGATACCCCACGCTCAAAACTTACAAGGTGAAAAGTCAATAATAAATATAGGCCTATGTGAGAGCATCATCACCACATGGACTGTTTTTTGTGCCACTTGCTTCAGTCATGAAGAAATTTGCACGATTTATTTGTTATGGAAGTTCATATTGTCTTTGTAAAATTTAGATTGGAAGAGAAAACATTATTTTACTCCGAGCAACAAAAAAATTGAACTTAAATTTTCACACAAATTGAATTAATTTTATACTTGGCATTTTTTTTTCTTCATAAAGGGTCAGGCGCCATTTAGGCTATAGGGCCTATTTCTATCATATTGGAATACATCATTTCGCTTTATTTAATTATTTTATTTATTTATTTATTTATTTATTTATTTATTTATTTATTTATTTATTATTATTATCATTTTTTATTTTAGTTATTTTTTTATTAATTTTATTCTTTTGTTCAAAGGACTTCGAAGACCATGGCATATTTGAAGCCCAGCGCGAACTGGAAAGAAAACAAAAGGAAGAAGAAGACTCCCTCTTTAAGAAATTCCACTTGCAAAAGGAAGAGCGTATGCGGAAGCTTGTGGAAGAGATTATGGCAGAAAAAGAAACTTCTGTCAAAGAACTCGTCGCTCTCTTCGACAGGTTAGGGATGAAGAGTCCTAGCCGAATTATCAAAGGGACTCCATTAGTTTGGAAAGGCGCCCCCAAAAGCGCAGCAGACGACGCAGGGGCTGATGATGACGATGATGATGCCGTCATCACCGAGGACCAGAATCTGGATGACGAAGCTTCAGAAGGAGATACAAGCGCGACCAGCTTGCTGGAGAAAAGTAAGCACATTGATGACGAATACCAAAGCCGTCTTGACGAGAGAATGCAGGAGCTGATGCGATCTCTAGAACAACAAGAGCAAGAGGAGCTTGCCAAGCTGGTGGAGAAACACAGCAAAGAGATGCTGTCACTAATAGCTGAGAAAGTGAGACTTTAATAATAATGATAATAATAATAATAATAAATTATATTCTAAAATCCATATAAAATGTTCAGTAGACTTTACATGGATAAAATGAACATAATAAGATGAATAAAGCTCCCAAACCTACTCTAAATACAGCGGAATTCGCTTGATTTTACGTTCAGTCGCGAAACTTTGTGTCATCTCGGAGAGATTCCGCCTCAATAGTTTGAACATCCCAGAAGTGAGTGTGCTAGTGCTATCAAACTGAATACAGCTGTTGCAGTAGAAGAAGAGGACTAAATTGTGATAGTGGTGAAATTTAAGTCGTTGGCGCATCGTATTGTGTATTTGTTTATTTTCACAAGGTGTTTATGCTCATGTATCTAAAATTGATGAAGTCTAAAACNCAATTCTGTGTATAAAGCGAAAAAAATAAATGTATTATCAACATTTGATCATGATAAATTTTGGTGAAAGCATCCCAGTCGTCTATATGTAAAAACCTATAGTAATGTGGGTATCTTCGGTGCAACTTTTAACTAACGCTTTTAAATTTTATTCCTTTTTAATACTCCTCTGTCCAATATTTTAACCTGAATGGGGGGAAAACTCATTTTCAGTTGTAATTATGAACTGAAGAATATTAACATTTTGGACATGCCACCTTTTTACGTAGCCATGCTGGATGCATGGAGGGATTTAATACAAACAGACCCTAATAATGCCTCCGATATAAAGAAACAGATAATATGGAATAATAGATTCATACTTGTAAACAAAAAGTCAATATATCTAAGGCATTGGTCAAAAGCCGGAGTAAATTATATTCAAGATATCATAAATATTAATGGTGAATTTATATCATTAGAAGAAATAATAAATCAACACAACTTCGACTTTAAGCTGCCGAATTTTCTAGAATACGAAAAAGTAAAAAAATCAATTCCGATATCATGGTTACGTAAACTTCGGGAAAATGCAGAAACAGTTGACAACACAGACTCAGATGAGATAGTATGGACTCTAGCCTCTACAAAAACCATTTACGATAAGCTAATAGAAAGAAATGTAATAAATTTACCCACAGCAAGTTTGCATCTTATAAAATCAGGCGTAAGTGAAAATGATTGGCAGAGAGTTTTCTTGATACCATTTGAGTCTGTCAAAGAAACTCAACTACAAGTAATGCAATACAGAATAATTCACAATGTGCTGTACACAAATTCTACACTGTTCAAAATGAAAATAGTTACTAGCCCAGGATGTATTAACTGCCATATGAAAGAAACAATAATACATCGTCTTGTAGAATGTGTACGTGCAAGAAATTTTTGGATTGCATTTGAAAACTGGTGGAACATTCCGAATAAAACCATACACTTCAGAAAAAATGAAAAAAACTATAATGTACGGGTGTCTGTCAAGCGACCAGCGCGTAAAAGCTTTAAATTTCTGTATTATTGTGGCTCAACAATTCATAAACAAAAATTCAGAAAATCCATCAGTCTATGATTTTGAACCGTTTCTGCATTTTCTTAGTCAGAAGAAGAAAACAGAAAAATACATTGCTAGAAGAAGATAAGTTTAATACAAAATGGAAACGCATTCCTACCATAACGTGTTAAAAATTTCACCTCTAGTACGCTATAGTTGCCGTTATGTAGTTCACAACAAGCATGTACACGTGTAGTATGTATGGATGGATGAGTGAGTGAAAGTATGTCTATATATTTATGCTCTTTTTATTTATCTATTAGTATTTAATTACCGTAACTATCATCAGCATTGTATTACACGCATTCAATCTTTATCTGCTTAAATATTTCATTATATATGTATATTTTCTTTTTTTTTTCTTTGAGTGAATAAACGCATTAAAAAAAAAAAAAAAAAATATATATATATATATATATATATATATATATATATATATATATATATATATATATATATATATATATATTTTTTTTTTTTTTTTTTTTTTTTTAACCTGAATGCATTTCAAAATTATTTTATTATGTACATTAGAACGGTTTTATTGTTTACTTTTTTTCTGTGAATTAAGTGTGCGATGTTATTTATGTAGGGTATTCTTGAACGGCTTTTACCCTTCAGGTGTAATAAATAAATAAATAAATAAATACATAAATAAATAAATAAATGTTTATATCTATCCGAAGGTGCGAGCCTCTATGTATGAAGCACAGAGCACGGATCCAGCAGCGCCAGCGACGACTGCTGACGAACAGAATGACGACAGCAACGCAGAGAGTGCCACCTTACTCACCCCTAGTGGACGCAAGACGATGACAAGATACCCCACGCTCAAAACTTACAAGGTGAAAAGTCAATAATAAATATATGTGAGAGCATCATCACCACATGGACTGTTTTTTGTGCCACTTGCTTCAGTCATGAAGAAATTTGCACGATTTATTTGTTATGGAAGTTCATATTGTCTTTGTAAAATTTAGATTGGAAGAGAAAACATTATTTTACTCCGAGCAAAAAAAAAATTGAACTTAAATTTTCACACAAATTGAAATAATTTTATACTTGGCATTTTTTTTCTTCATAAAGGGCCAGGCGCCATTTAGGCTATAGGGCCTATTTCTATCATATTGAAATACATCATTTCGCTTCATTTAATTATTTTATTTATTTATTTATTTAATTATTTATTATTATTATCATTTTTTATTTTAGTTATTTTTTTTTTTTATTCTTTTGTTCAAAGGACTTCGAAGACCATGGCATATTTGAAGCCCAGCGCGAACTGGAAAGAAAACAAAAGGAAGAAGAAGACTCCCTCTTTAAGAAATTCCACTTGCAAAAGGAAGAGCGTATGCGGAAGCTTGTGGAAGAGATTATGGCAGAAAAAGAAACCTCTGTTAAAGAACTCGTCGCTCTCTTCGACAGGTTAGGGATGAAGAGTCCTAGCCGAATTATCAAAGGGACTCCATTAGTTTGGAAAGGTGCCCCCAAAAGCGCAGCAGACGACGCAGGGGCTGATGATGATAACGATGACGATGACGTCATTACCGAGGACCTGAATCTGGATGACGAAGCTTCTGAAGGAGATACAAGCGCGACCAGCTTGCTGGAGAAAAGTAAGCACATTGATGACGAATACCAAAGCCGTCTTGACGAGAGAATGCAGGAGCTGATGCGATCTCTAGAACAACAAGAGCAAGAGGAGCTTGCCAAGCTGGTGGAGAAACACAGCAAAGAGATGCTGTCACTAATAGCTGAGAAGGTGAGACTTTAATAATAATAATAATAATAATAATAATATTAATGTATATTCTAAAATCCATATAAAATGTTCAGTAGACTCTACATGGATGTAATGAACATAATAAGATGAATAAAGCTCCCAAACCTACTCTAAATACAGCGGAATCTCGCTTGATTTTACGTTCAGTCGCGAGACTTTGTGTCATCTCGGATAGTTTCCGCCTCCATAGTTTGAACATCCCAGAAGTGAGTGTGCTAGTGCTATCAAACTGAATACAGCTGTTGCAATAGAAGCTGAGGAGGAAATTGTGATAGTGGTGAAAGTCAAGTCGTGGGCGCATTATATGCATGTGTATTTGTATATTTTCACAAGATGTTTATGCCCATTTATCTCAAATTGATGAAGTTTAAAAAAAAAAAAAAAAAAAAAATATATATATATATATATATATATATATATATAGTCACTTATTTTAGCTATTTCTAACGTGAAATTCTTATTTGATTCAATATGACTGTATTTGGTAATAGTGTAGTATTAATGTCTTTAATTTTTATTCGTTTATTATTTTATTTCATTTATTTATTTATTTATTTATTTATTTGCATCTCTACAAGGCCGGTTAAGTAAGCAGGATAATTAATTGACTGGTTCACAAAGTTTCGTTTTTTCTTTCTGCTTAGACACTATGTTTCCACCTTGTGGGACTCATAATTGGTAAACTCTCCCTACTTGTTATGCAGTGCTTCTTAGAAACAGTGTTGATTAGAATTTTCAATAATCACATTCGCAAGGCTAATCCCATAGCGCGGCATTTTGGTTTCGGGGTTTTGACCACAGCCCCCCACCACATAAATGATCTTAATAAATGAGCCAGCCTTGTGTTGCTTAACTCACATTAACACGTTGAAACATTTTAGGAAAGAGCGATCGACACAGAGAATGATTTCAACAGATCTTTACCACCAGATGTCGCTCCACCAGAGGTTAAAAAGATGGACCTCTTTGAAAAGTCAGATTCTGCCGTTCAACGCCTCGATATGCAAGCGATCGAGGTCAGTATTGTATGGCTTTATTTATTTATTTATTTATTTATTTATTTATTTACATATTTATTTATTTATTTATTTATTTATTTATTTATTTATTTATTTATTTATTTATTTGCATGCGTTTGGATTATATGAATTTTCGCCATTCACTTAACCACAGGGTATTCTAAGCCTTTTTTATCATCCAGATGCCGAAATGTAGTTTTTTTCCTGCATCTTATTATTCAACAATGCACTTATCTTTGTTTTGATTTAAAACAATAAAAAAAAAACCCTCCAAAAAACAATCTATCGGTGTGGGGCGTAACTTCATCCCTAAAAACAGATTTTTTAAAATTAAACAAAGACATTATTTTGCTTTATCAACGATCAAATCTGAACGGAGACTTTTAAGACGAATCTATGGCAGGATTTTGGAGTACTAAATGGTTAAATAAATTAAATTGGCGTTGAAGCGGTGTTCGTAGGTTCTCAGGTAAAGGAGAAATTTGCGAAACCAATCTTTCAATATTTTACCACAAAGCCGCAATTATGACCTCACTCGTAAGATAACATACGTATAAATGTTAATTAATTTAGTCACTGACCACTGAAGATTTATCTATTATCCAAACGAATGTATGTGATGCAGTTGATGAGGAGTTTTGGCAAAAGCTAACAGTATCCTTAACTAAAAGAAAAAAACAAAATATGTTTCTTTTAGACTCTTCCTACCTCAAAACGCCTACATTAGTGAATGAACCTGTGCAGATGCCAAGATGAAATAGAACATACAGAACGGTATACAAGTGTCAACGTTGACTGATTTAAATAAATCTATTTTATCTTGATTATTTAAATATCTATTGATATTCTTATTTTTATTGATCAGTAATTTTATTTGAATTCTATTTATTGATCTAACGCTTCGTGGGTTGCCAGGGTAGATAATAAAGTTTGACCTTTAAAAAGGATGAAAGTCGATCGCTGTGTGATGCAGGAGCAAATAATATTTGTCTAACTCTATAACACATGCCTTCTGGAGGAAAGCAGCCAGACGTGTCTTATTTTGTTGCTTTGGAAGAAATAACAATGAGTCCATTTGAAAAATCGTTGTTTTGAGAATTTAGCTCCATTAGTCTATGCGCAGTGGGGTCACACGTAGTCCAGATATCACACGCAGTGGTTTTAGAGCGGGTGGGTGGGGGTCAATGGGGT